TCTCTCTCTCTCTCTCTCTCTCTCTCTCTCTCTCTCTCTCTCTCTCTCTCTCTCTCTCTCTCTCTCTCTCTCTCTCTCTCTCTCTCGTCCACAACGTTCGGCGCAGGGGAAACCCGTTTGTCGCGTTATGGCTCGCGCAGCAAATGAGCCGCGGCCGAATGCAACACCCGTTTTTGTACGCGTTTGGACCATTTCCCTTGCGCCACCCCCCAGCAGGCCGGCGAAGGCAGGCACTCGCGAACGCCCTACACGACGCAAAGGGGTTCGCGCGTGTTTTTTAATTTTTTTTTTGTAAAAAAATAATAATAATAAAAAAAAGGTGCATGGGGTGGTACCCGACAACGGACACTACCACCCCACACCTTCACAAAACCCCTACCCCCCCCCAAACGCGAGGAAACGCCGTTCGCGGACCCCGTTCATCCGCGTCGAACGCGCGTTTGAAGGGGGATTGAACGTGAATTCAATGCGCGTTCAATTTTTCAACGCGAAACCCACGTTGAATTGGTTTTCGGACACACAGCCCGGGATCCCATCGGGGCCTCCTCACCACTGTCTGCTGATGCCGTTTTCAGTAGACGTGCTTGCATTTTTTGTCCCTACCCAGGAAGGACGACTCGGACGAGGAGCCGGTACCCGAGGCAGTAGATGACCGTGCGCTCCGAATTCCCTGTGAGATCCATGAGATGCACGACGATCCTGACGATGAGGAGACGAGGGCACACACTGCACGACGGGCGGCGGACCAGGTGGACAGGGAGATGCTGGGGGGAGAGGAGGAGTTTTGGGGCCCATTCGGGGAGGTCGCTTCCACGGGCAGCACAGAGGCGCGGGCGACGACCCACTCCGACGAGGCGGGAGTCGTCCATGCCGCCACCTCCTGCTCCGAGTCCTGCACAACCATCGCCCGTCTCACCACTTCAGCCGGCCATGGCAACGGTAGACAGGGAGGAGTTGGGGTCCTCTTTGCCTCAGCGCGGACTTCTCCACAGAGGCGGGGCAGTCCGCCAGCTGAGGTTACAATCACCTTCCCCAGGGATATTGCAGGAGGAGGAGGCACCGTCGGCAGCAGCAGTGGAGGGGGGGATGGCACCAGCGGCGGTGGCGGATGCGACGGTAGCAGCCGCGGTGGACGAGATAGCATCAGCAGTGCTGGAGGAGATGGCAGCATCATTGGTGGACGAGGAGGCACCGGCGGCAGGAGGAGCGGCAGCAGTGGAGGGGCAGGTGGCACCGTCGGCAGCTGCTGTGGAGGGGGGGTGGCAGGACCAGTGGAGGACGAGATAGCCGCACAGGCAGAGGTGCAGCGTGGGGGCGATGATGAGCCGCATGAGCACCTCATGCAGCAGTTCCTCACGAAGGAGCTCGATCCGGTCATAGCTGGTATGACCGCGGGTGTGGCGAGGGGCCTTGGAATTTCGGATTCCGAGATGGGGACCCACTAAGACTTTGATTTGTCGATGGGCCTTCCACCTAGTTGCGGCGGGGCGACATCCACGGATCAGTCTTCATCGAGGGATGAGGCGGCAGGACAGACTTTGACCCAGACCCCGAGAGAGAGGACGACGACTGAGTCTCCTGATGCAGCACTCGACATCATGGAGCGAGAGAGGACTCGACTTCTGGCATCAAGTAACCCGTGTGCTCAGGCGTTCACACGGGTCTTAGAGGAGGCCAGGCTTCGAGAGACAGGGGGGAATGGTGTGCAGGGTGGGGTGGTGGCGGGGGAGGATGTTGCGGAGGGAGTGGCAGCAGAGGCGGATGATGAGGCTATGCCGGGTGGACTAGAGGCAGCGGATGTTGCTGTGGAGGGACGACCACAGGCGGAGGATGAGGTTGTGCAGGCACGACAGCGGCGAGACGAGGGGACCATAGACGCACGACGCGTTGTCCAGGAGACAGCGACGGGTCCAGTCGTTCCGTTCTCGGGCCTGCACTTGGCCCAGGGCCGACAGTCGCAGGCAGTTCAGATGGCAGTTCATGGTGTGCCACCGCTTGTTGTCACGGATTTGGGTTCCGAGCCACTGGCTGTACCCCCACGTCTTCCGAGTCACTTTGCTCCGCAGGACGTCCGTCTTCCTTTGGATGCAGAGGAGTTGGCGAGACAGGCTGTGCGCGATGTTACTCGATTGGACCGGTGGATCTTCGACCGGAGGCCTGAGCATCCAGCATGGCAAGCGATCCCTTCGATTCCATGGGGTCCTGCGTCGCACGTGTGGTGTGGGTCTACCTCCACCGGAGGACATACCGATGTCGCGCCCCCACCGTTCCAGGGCCTAGCTTGATGTCCCTCGCCGGGCCGAGTGCGGTGGGTTGGTGGACTGGCAAGCTGTCACGCAGGATTTTGGAGAATTTTAGGAAAAATTGGAAGTGAAATCACAAGCAGCCTTTGTCACACAGTCTAGTAGTCAAGGTTATCCCTCCTGCCAGCGGTGACACGGCTTAGAGTGAGGCGTTCGGTTTTATCTCATGCACCTGACGCCGTATAAAGGTCAGACTCAAGGTCACCGGAGTCCCTATTATCTAGGAGTCCTTCAAGTAGCCTTGAGTGTAACCTGATGTGGAGTGATAAATAACTTTTTATCTCATGCATAAACATTCCCATGTATCATAAATCAAATGACACTGAGAGGACGAAAAGACCAGAAACCAGACTCTGCAAGAGCATGACCAGAAACAAGAGACTGAAGAGTAGTACTCAAAGAATGGAGGAAGCAGCCATAAAGAAGGGGCTGCAGTCACTGATAAATAATAATAATGTCATGGTTTATCTCAGTGACTAAAAGATACGAGCCTCAGTCAATGACGACAAGTGGTACCCCCTCATGAGTGGGCTCGACTGTCTAGGACTCCGTATCTGGTACACGCTGGTCCTCCTCATCATTGAGAACCTGAGTGGCGATAGACTCCGGGACCACATAGCTGATGTTGAAAGATGTCGTAGGATCAATCTTGCTAATGTATACCATACATCTGGCCATCTCCTCGTCCGCAACGCTCCGAAGGTACAGCTTCTCAGCGAGGGAAATGCTGCCTCTGGCACCGATCAAGATCTCGATCCGCCCCTTGCCGTAGATGTAGTCGTATGAAACCTCCAGAAAACGGTCTCCATAAAGAGGCTTCCGAAAAGCCTGTATAATGAAGTCCGCTCCCACCAAATGATTGTAGCCATTCCCAAGATATGGGACTGGTCCCTTCCCTCTAGAAGGGCCGGCTACCTCCTCTGACTTGGGTACTCCTGACATGTATGACCTAGATCAATCTCCCTCAAGCAAATATCGTGCCAGGAGGTAAGCAACCTGTCGTAGAGCTGCCTTCCGCCTGCGTCTCGCTCTAGTGGCCAATGTCATAAAAATGCTCTCGATCTGCTCCGAATGAAGCGTGCTCAGTCCATGTGAGTATCCCAATCAAAATAGTCCCCGAAATCAATGTCGCTCATACAGCAAGGCCCTTGGTCTGACTCGTCCGTCTCTGACCTCTGTAGACATGGGGTAATAGGTATCCCGGATCTGGCCACCTCGCTCCTGATCCTCCTGTCTTGACGCCTCTTTTCCCTGCTGCCACCTCTGCTCAACGGTTTAAGATTACAACAATCACAGTCATAGAGAGCACACCTGGTGCAAAGGGGATCTGGGGAGACACCATATGTAACCAGTGCTCTCTCCAATAACTCTCCCTGCAGAAGATATAGTCAGCAATCCGGTCGTAGGTGGTTCCTTTTATTCCCTGTCCAACTTTTCTCACATGATAAGTGATCACCAATGTATATCTTGATGTGGGAGTTTCATTGGCCCTGATGATGAAACTCTGATGCCCAATGTGTCGATAGCAGAACTTCTTACCAGCTTACCCCATGTAGGGGTTATCTCACATTGAGAAGCCTGCTTGACCAATCTACAAAATAGTATAGAATGCTCCTGGTAAGCTGCTATGCCGAGCAATAATGTCGTGGAGATGAGGGGGATATCAATAGCCCAGTGAAATAACACAACTCGATGGGGTCGGAGAGGACAGCACCTCAGTAGACCCTCCCGCCAAACTGGTAACAACCAACTCAATATAGAGGCCCGCCTGAATGAGCCTGGCTGAATCAGCAATCAACTCGATACAAGGGCCTGCCTGAATGGGCCCGGCTGAACAGCAACAACTCGATATAGGGGCTCCCGAGAATGGGCCCGGCTGATCAGCAACAACTCGATATAGGAGCCCGCCTGAATGGGCCCGGCTGAACAATAACAACTCGATATAGGGGCCTGCCTCAATGGGCCCGACTGAACAGCAACATCTCGCTATTGGGGCCCGCCTGAATGGGCCCGGCTTAACAGCAACAACTCAGTGGCTCATCATAGCAACATCATACGAACATCTCTGCAGCAAGTGGACTAGAGCATGAGGACTGAACTGCAAGTATTGTCACTGAGAGAGACTAATCATGAAGATATTATCCATGCAGAGTCCAGTTGCAAAATACTGCGCGTGCAAACCGAACTGTACTGATATCATGCGTGCAGGAAAAATATCGTCTGCACAGGGTCTAATATGAATATCGTCCATGCAGAGATTGATCAGCAAGAAATCATATCAGAGGGAGTTGGGGCTAGCCATATCATCAGAGACATCCAGTCATGTCCTAAAAACTAATCACACTCGCTGGGCGCATGTCCCCGACCATCGTATCAGCGGGACATGCGATCTAGAATCATCAGAGCACACACCTATATAGCCTACTAGAGCCCGGGTGCACTCATGGTGCAATACCAAGCGTGGGCGCGCATGGGTGCGCACTCATATGGCTATATCTATGTTGGGCACGCATGGGCGCGCACTCTTGCTGCAAGAATGAGCCTGGGCATGCATAGGCACGCACTTAAACAGCAATACATATCATGGACGCACGTGAGCGCATACTCAAATGACAATATCTGGCTTGGGCGCGCACGGGCGCACACTCGTATAGCAATATCGAGCTCGGGCGCACACGGGCGCACGCTCATATAGCGATACCAAGCTCGGGCGCGCACGGGCGCACACTCATATAGCGATACCGAGCTCGGGCGCGCACGGGCGCACACTTATATAGCAATACCGAGCTCGGGCGCACACGGGCGCATGCTCATATAGCGATACCGAGCTCGGGCGCGCATGGGCGCACACTCTTACAATCAATGCCTAGCTTGAACCCGCATGGGCGCGCACTCTAACAGCAATGCCAAGCTTGGGCGNATGGGCGCGCACTCTAACAGCAATGCCAAGCTTGGGCGCGCATGGGCGCACACTCTAACAGCAATGCCAAGCTTGGGCGCGCATGGGCGCGCACTCTTACTGCAATGCCAAGCTTGGGCGTGCATGGGCGCGCATTCTTACTGCAATGCCAAGCTTGGGCGCGCACTCTAACAGCAGTGCAAAGCTTGGGCGCGCATGGGCGCATACTCTAACAGCAGTGCCAAGCTTGGGTGCGCATGGGCGCGCACTCTAACAGCAATGCCAAGCTTGGGCGCGCATGGGCGCGCACTCTAACTGCAATGCCAGGCTTGGGCGCGCACTCTAACTGCAATGCCAAGCTTGGGCGCGCACTCTAACAGCAGTGCCAAGCTTGGGCGCGCACTTAAACAGCCAAACTGAGGCTGGGAGCGCACTCAAACAACCAAACTGAGGTTGGGCACGCACTCAAACAGCCAAATTGAGGCTGGGCGCGCACTCAAACAACCAAACTGAGGCTGGGCGCGCACTCAAAAGGCCAAACTGAGGCTGGACGCGCACTCAAACAGCCAAACTGAGGTTGGGCGCGCACTCAGAATCATCAGAAGCAGTGTACGCAGATTGAGCAAAATTCCACAGATTGAGTGCGCACTGTCACACAAAATCAAAATCATCAAAGTGGAGTTTTGCATATTGATCACACAGTGTCACACTCAAATTCGAGTGCGCACAGTCACGCTTGCTCGAAAATGATCAATGCTGAGTTTTCAAATTGAGCGCACACTGTTGCACATGTTCAAAATCGTCATTCCAAATTTAAAGATAAAGTGCGCACTGTCGCACATACTCAAAATCATCAAAGCGGGTTTTCTCAGATAAAGAGCGCAGTGTCGCATTCAAATCTGAGTGCGCACAGTCGCATATACTCAAGATCATTCAAGCGGGTTCCTCAGATAATAAGCGCAGTGTCGCACTCAAATTTGAGTGCGCACAGTCACATATGCATCATTGGCTTTCTCAAATTAAGGGCGCAGTGTCGCACTCAAGTTTGAGTGCGCACAGTCGCTTTTCATTGATCTGGCACAGCAAAATCAGTGTACTCGATCTGAGTGACCCTTGGCATACGAAAATCGGTCTACTCGGTCTGGGTGCCCCTTGGCACAACAAAATCAGTGTACTCAATCTGAGTGTCTGCTGGCACAATAAATCGCAATGATACTCAATCTGGGTGCCTGCTAGCACAATAACTCGGCAATGATACTCAATCTGAGTGTCTGCTGGCACACTAAATCGCAATGATACTCAATCTGAGTGCCTGCTGGCACAATAACTCGACAATGATACTCAATCTGAGTGCCTGTTGGTACAATAAATCGCAATGATACTCAATCTGAGTGCCTGCTGGCATAGTAAATCGCAATGATACTCAATCAGGGTGCCTACTGGCACAATAACTCGGCAATGATACTCA